GTGCAAACGTTTTAAGCGCCTGGTTTTTTTAGTAATCTGTCTTACTTGTCCAAGTTGGCGGCTTGGTCGTAAGCATGTCTTGCATTCTCCTGGTCCTCCAAGTGTGTCAAAGCAACTGAAACAAAACGGAACAAACACGAATGTTACTATTATAACTCTGGCTTTCATGACTGTTTCTACAACAGAAAGGTCTCTTTAACCATTTCATTCGTGTGGCCCTGTGCGTTTTCCTCCTGTGAGCTTTCCTTCTAATTTTAGGAGACTTTAATAGAAAAATTGTTCGTATCACAAAGTTGTCGCTCGAGATGAATATCTTAGTAAAGTCATTTTGTTGGTGCAGGAATTTAACCGATGAACTCCGGTTTAATAATCTTGGCCCTACGGACATTTTACCCCAAAGGCGGACTTTTATGAGGCGCTATAAGCGGTCCCTCTATGTCAAGGCCCTGATGAGACCCCAGCCCTTACATGATAAGGGTCTTTATAAGACTCTCGGGGCCCATCAGTGGTAGGGGCAAAGGCCCTTATGAGACTCCAGCCCTTCCATTACATAAGCCCTTATGAGACTCTGACCCTTCCATGATAAGGGCCCTCATAAGAATCTAACCCCTCAGTGGTAAGGACCCTTATAAGACACTGGCCCTTCCATGATTTGGCAAAGGCGTTTCATCCCTGACAAGGGTCTCCAAATGTGCATCCCTCATTTGCTTGTTATTATCAACCACGCGTGTGTTCCGTGAAGGAAGCTTAACAACGCGCCTGATCAAATATCCACAGACACTCACTTGCAAGCAACATGAAGAGGTGACCGTGCTTGGGTTTGAGAGTGATTGCGGCACTAAGAAAATGAAACGCAGAGGCGTATCTAATAAACGTCAAGGGAATTAGGAAGTACTTAGTTTGAAATAACTCTGAGGAGCTTTCTCACGATATCCTGAGTAATTTTTTTCCAATGTAACAAATAATACTCAAAGGGAAAAAAGTCTCACAGTAAAACTTCTCTATGGATTGAAATTATAAACACCAAAAAGTAATAACAGTTAGCAAAATAAAGACTGAGAAAGATTGAGACAAGATTATATGTGACACACTTGAATAGTGGACGATTGTATTTTTCAAGATGAGCCGTCCGTGGCATGGCTTCTTCAAGTACCGCATGAGACGTAGTATTAGAACTTGTAAGGATACTGTTGCATTGTGAGGTGAATGATTCCCAAGTTGTAAAGGATTTTCCATTCAAATGGCGCCATGTACGTGGCTCTCTTGAGACAGCTGATGGCCTGCAGAAAAATGATAATTGTAAAAATCTGTAAACAAATTGAAATATGTAAATCGAAATTATGCTTCAGCAGAAAAAAAAAANACCTCCTCTCTGCAAAGGCCACTTTTTTTCCTGTCCCGGCGGAAGGCCACTCGTATTTCAACCTCTCTACTGCGGCCATCTCTGTACAACGGCCACTAAAGCCCGACTCAATTGCCCAAATAACCTCTTGAAGACGGCCAGTTAATCAACGACTGACGAACAGTGCATAGAAAAGCCCATTTTATATTAAAAATGGTCACCGAACTTGATCCATACCGCGCGTCGTTGGTCTTTGTTTTTGTTTGGTTTCTTTTTTACTGACAAATGTTGATTGTGTCACGTATTTACATGCTGAAATAAGAATTGTTTTAAAGATAAAAATCTTTCACCCCGAAAAAAAAAAATTAAGTGTCATATTACACCCCTTCCTTCCCATAACCGGCGGTCACTTCTCTACAACGGCTTGTTCCCTCTATCCCCAAGTTGGACGTTTGGCGGAAGTTCGACTGTATTTATTTCTCTGTCTTGTATTGTCAGACATTTCTACACATCTCTTGGAATTCACACTTATGCAATAAAACGACCAATAAAACTCTGTGACGAACTGCCTTCGACTGAAGAAGTTACAAATACCATAATGCATATGTTACGTTCTATCAAGCAGTTTACACCACTCAAAGCAAAAGCATGCTTCGTCACTAATGAACCAATCAAAATTTGTTTATCGACTCACTGCCACATATTTCTTTTTGCCAAAGAAGCACATGCCAATGTTGTTCCACAAGTGAGGTGATTCAGGCGTGGCCGCGGCAGCTATTCTGTACTTGGTCAGTGCAACATCGTAATCACCATGTGATTGAATCATAGATCCAGCTCCTAAGATGGCCTAAAAATGGAACAAAAACTGCACTAGTTATACCTGTTATAATGTACAAAATTACCCTCAAATCAAAGGAGTTGCTACTTCGGTAGAAAATTTACAGTGAAACCAAGTGAAGCGTACCCCTCAAGATTACAGTCATGAATTGATTATTTGAATATTGAACAAGAGAGTCGTTTCAGGAATGCACTAACGAATTGATTATTTCAGAAATAGAAAACATGTACCGTGTTTCTATCGAGTTATAGAAACACGGGTGGAAGTTTGGGAGAACGAGAAATGCTGTGGGAACACGAGNTTTTCGAGTTCTCCCAAACTTTCAGGAGTGTTTTTATAGCTCGATAGAAACACGGAGAACATGTTTTCTATTTCTTTTCGAAAACACCACGACGAAGTGGTGGACGAAGTGTAAATTCTCTTTGCTCGCGCCATCATTACGTCAACAGCTCGTGCTAGTTCTGTGTTTCTATCAAGTTATAGAAACATGATTTTCAACCAATCAGCGCGCATATTTTCTTAGGACCGTTTTCTAAAGTAAGATGCAAAGTGGAAACCACCTACCTTAACATTGCTAGGATCATATGTCAGTGCATTTCCAAGATGCTCAAAAGCCTTTGAGGTCTGACCCAGCTGCAACAGAAGAAGCTATTAGAGTTGAACATTTGACACAGTCTAGAGGGAGGAGGGAGAGAAGGTGAAAAGACTTTTCTGTACAGGGTGAAATAAGCAAAATAACAACAAGCACTAACCTGCAGGTAAAGAAGTCCAAGAGTTGTCATCAGGTCTGGATTTTCAGGTGAGAACCTGGATATTTATAGAATACAGAGGTGAATATTTAAAACAAAAACACTGCAAAGCTGAAATTATACATAATTGCATTCTGAGAAACTAATTATGTAGAAGAGGTGTGTCAGCTTTACATTTTTGAAAATTGCTTGTTAGTCCACCCCATCTACATTATTTCTTCACTCAGTTTTACAGATATTCACACATTGTCTGACAGAAATGGGCCGCCATCTTGTTTTGCAAGTTGCAAACTTGCATGACAACCAAGGAACTGTGAAAGTATATAATGAAACTGAAATGCAGCTGTACAGTTTAGTATTTCCAATACAAATATCAGTCACCTAAACCAATCAGATTGCAGATTTTGCCTGTATAATATTGTTGAACACTTTTGGTCGGAATGCCTTTTGCAGCATATTAATAAACTTAACAGAATGCACACCACTCACTCTATTGCTTTCTTGAAAATGTCAATGGCAGATTCTGTATCACCCTCCAAGAGTAAGACTTTACCCAGCTGAGTAAAGGAGGCATCATGACGGTGGTATTGTAAAGCGTGCTTGAAACAGTCTTTAGCCTAACAAAGACAAACATGTATACAGTTGGAGTTAAACATCTCCAGCTTAAAATCACAAAGTTAATGCATATAAATGTACTGTGTATGATAGTAACAAAAAAATTAAAGCTTTCAATTAACTTTAATTTAAAGCTTTCAGCTCATGTATACAATATATACTAATTTGCCACAATAAACATGTTGTATACATGACTGAGTTGAGGTAAGGATATTCTCAATATATCAGCATGCCCACAGACATGTATTTTGAGGAATGGACAAAAAAAGAGAAAACAGGAGATCAAAAAAGTAATTAGTAATTATTAATAGGGAAAGCAAACAAGCAGTTCTCCCAGTCTACTCTTTCTCTGTTTTCTTCTCCTTGCTGTGGTCATTTATGCATCACAATTCAGTACGGGTTTTGTCTTGCCAGGAGAGGGAGGGGGATCATGGAGGTCACTTTCTAAGCAACCCATCACCCAAAGGGAAGTCCACAGGTCTTTTTATTGGTCAGTCTCCAAATTATTTTTTAGAGTCATGCTCTGGCAAACAACTTTAAAATTTTCAGTCTTTGTTACTTGGATGTGTAATCCATGTAATTACTGTAGTTCACGTGTTTGAGCGGAGACCTTTATGAGATAATTTAGTATGACTTTAATAGTATGAGATTAGTATGAGATTAGTAGACCTTTATCAGATTATAAACTAATGTTTATAAATCACGAAGTTCTACCCTTAAAACATCATTTATAATTGAACTTTTTACCTTTTCAAAGTCTTTCATATACACGTAGCAAACACCTGAAAGATGTCAAGAAAGGGATATCATAAATTAAAAAGACCTGAATTTTGCATGCAAAAATTCTCGTCAGGGTTAAAATTTGATAAAAACACTTACCTTGATTGTGATAAATTTCCTGCATCGAAAAAACAACACAGAAATTCTACAGGTAAATATTAAATTTAATTGTCTTGCTTTATTTTAATACTAAACCACACAATAAACAGTCAAACCTCTGCACACTGACAGCCGACTCCCTATACATGTAGCACCTGCATATTTTTTAATTTGTACAGTGTATGATGTTATAAAGACTGTGATATCTGTCCAGTGATGAGATATTAAAAGTAAGAAACATACTGGCTAGATCAGCACATTGGTCATTAAATTCATACATATAAATATTGGTTAACATACCCAATCTTTGGTGCTGAGCTTTGCAGCTTCATTGTATACTTCAAGAGCTGCTTTGTGACGAGCAAGAAGAAATCTAGAAAGATTATAAAGTATGTCTATAACTCTCTTGAAACTGAAACAGATCTTTTAGTGCGACTACTTGAACTAGGCCACTTAGAAGAAAACTAACCAACCAAAACATAAACTGAGAACAATGGACTAGTATCTTTTTTCGTAAAGGCAAGTAAGGGTCTGTTTGACATGAATATGTGATATATTTGTCAACTCCTCTGTGTTATACACCCTCTACAGATTCATTTCTTGATGGCAAGTTAACTTATATTAAAATTAACTCAAAAAATGTAGCTTGAAAACTTGTTTTGCAATGATTTAACTGAAACTGTTGAAATGCATACAAAATTTAGGGTCAAAACTAACCAATCAACAAATAGTAAAAGTTTCCTGAGAGGTCTACAACACTTCACACTTTTTTGGGTTTCCACTTTTGTTCGAGAACAATTGTTTGAAATCTTCAATATTAATCAATCTTCAACGGTAATGTTCTGGTTGGCTAAATCTTTTCCATGTGACCTGATTCAAGTAGTCACACTGTAAAGAAATTGCAATATTGTAATATCTTGATTAAACATCTCAAATAAATGTCAGGTTCAAATAAATGTCCTTGTATTTATCAAAGGCCCTGGCAATTGACATAATTTGTAAGCACCAGTACTATTGCGCTACTGGCTCCCCTGATACCTAGGACTACCGGAAACATATTTATCAATACTTCACTACAAACAATTCATGAGTGGGGGGTATTGGAACACTCAGCATGACATCAAATTGTACACTTACAGCGATCTTGCCACTTGTTTTAAGTTATCAGCGCTTTGTGGATTAATCTGCACAGTCCTCTGGAAAAGATCCAGAGACTCTTGGATTTGCCCCTCTTGACGAAGAATTAATGCTACAAAAGAGGTCATCAAACAGTAAGCGACCGGTAAGCTCAGCACAAAGATCCTAGGCTATTGCTCCACTTTCTACTGCTGAGAGTAATGATTTTCAAAATGTCAGTACAGGCAAAAGTAAACATGTACAATGTTGAAGTCAAAAAGTGACCTGTAGCTGAAAAACCCACTTAGGGAGCTTCAATAAAGTTTGTATGTATGTATGTACATGTAGGTAAGTATTGAATAAATGTGTAATTTTTTTATTGCATTTTTTAAACAGATGACTTTTCATTGGTCAAAATATTTCTGGGCAAAATATGAGGACTTTTACAGTTTGATGATTATCACAGGCTGGTATCCCTGCATGAATGAATTCAAATTTCTGGCTACTATTAAAATTACTTAACGATGGGTAGCAGACTAATCCAACTCCAAAAATGAGGAAGACAGTGGTTTGCAAATTCATGCTCTTTAGACTGACCTAAATTGTCCAGTTCCAGAAAATATGTATTACTTGCCTTATGGAACATCACCAGAAATATTTCCAGGGGGCAGGAGGTCACAAAGTAAGGGGAATTTCTGGAGAGGTAGTTGGTGGTCAAAAAACTCAGAAAACCTTCCACCAAGGGCAGGAGTTGGACATTTCCTGGAACAACAGTTACACATACTCAGGGCTACGATATATAAAATGTGTTACCTTTGCAATACAATGCATATTCACACATTCCTTGTGTTTCATCAAGTTGTTCCTTTATAAGGGACTTTAAAGATAGAAAAGAAATATTGTTACAATTGATATTCAAACAAGTATACACTGTAAGAGATCACATGATGTTGTTAAATTTGTAAACTTTCCTCACCTTGCATTGATCATATTCTTTTCTGATGAAGTGCAAATGAATAAGCCAGTTTCTTCTTTCATACACCGGCAGCTCAGGAGCTAAGAAAAAGATAGTTTGCAGCTATCACAGAAACACTGCACTTCACACATAATGGGAATCAACTACATATAACAGTAATTTTTTATTGTAAACTTA